CCCCAAAACCCCAAAACCCCAAAACCCCAAAACCCCAAAACCCCAAAACCCCAAATTTTTTGGAACAATTGAAATTATTAATGGAAGAAACTAAAAATAAGATCGAACAAAAAAGAGTCAACTGTAAAGATAGGACCAGAAAAAGCCGTGACCGTAAGAAAATGTATATCGAGGACCTTGAAAATAAGGTAAAGACGCTTGAGAAGGAGAATTTTAGGCTCCATCACCTTCTTCTGTACTATCGCAAAGAATCTATGAGGCATGTTGACGAAGAGCCAGTCCACCTGGTTGAAGATATTGATAAATATAGGCAAGAAGTTGAGAGTACTTTCATTGATAATGAAACTGGAGGTTATAACGAAAGAGCTAGAGTCAAATGCTCTGAACATTTCTCAAGAACTAGTAAAAGAATCATGGAGAGTCATAAGAAAGTAATGAACCTTGGATTTGACCTTATCATTGATCATTTACATCCATTTGTATCGTTCTTCTATTGGAAAAATTTTGATCAAGGATACAGCGCAAGTTATGAATTAATTAAGAAATATGGTAAAAGAACTAAATTTGAGAAACCTGAATTTATCAAGAACAATAATTTAACGGAGCTGGACTTGCTCATAGCATCTTTTGATCCAAATAAAAGGCAATACGATTTCCTCACAACCTGTATGTTTCCGAAGGAAAGACAGATTAAATCGAAGTTTGATGATGCTTTGAGTCATTTGATCAAATCAAAAGAAATGATTGCAGAAGCAAATGCAGAGCTGCATGCCTTTAGAACACTGTTTATCAAATCAGAAATTATCAGCGACAAACAAGTTTTTAGCTCAAACCTTAACTTTGAATACAAAGGAGCAGCTGACCTTAAGCTCAAAAGTATTTGGGATATCGAAGTGATTCCAAAGGTGATTAATATTAATCTTGAAGAAGATTTCCTTTACGGAAAATATGCCAAAAGACTACTTGAGAAGAGAGACAGATTCTTGCAGTATGAATATGAGAGTTACTCGGCTGACAAAGATGTTATTAAACTGATTTAGGTAAGATACGACCTGTTCAATTAAAAATGTACGTAGCGGGGTTTTGGGGTTTTGGGGTTTTGGGGTTTTGGGG